GCAGAAGAATCCTTGTTTGCCCACTGAGCGATTTACCCACGACCACCTTACGACGGAAATGGAAAATGGGCCAAAAAAAGCGGCAAAAAATCGTACAAGCAGGAGTGCACCACTTAATGGCTGGGAGGAGTTAAGCTTGTAGCTACTGCTTTACAGCGTGAAGCCATACGCATAGTCTCCAAAGGTACATAGTGCATTTTTAACATATACACAACTGCAGACTGCACCTGAAACGTTGGGTCCAAACGGACCTAAAAGTGGGTATGAAATGGTTTAAGGGCAACATGCTAACCTTATATCAAAGTAAAATCCACTGCATAGCCAGGTAACTTGCTGTTAGAGGAGATGAGTGCAGATCAGGGGTCATGGGGGTCAGCAGTGACTGATGAGCTTCCCCACATGTTTAGGAAAAGCACAGAAACAAAAGCTCTCCTCTGCTTTTCTGTTCTCCGTCTCTTGTTTCACTTCTTACCTTCTTCTCCTCTCCAAGCATCTCCATCCATGCGTGGATCCACTCCTCTGGATGTGGCTGCAGCATCGGTGATGGATAACAATGAGCTGGCTCTGGCTCTCAGAGAACCGGAGCTGGAAAAGGTGAACGTGTCAAACACACACACACACATAGAGCTAACACTGTCCAACTAAACCCGGGTTTACTTTGAACAAATACAGAAACTCTGAATGCTGAGACAGAAACTAGCAGCATTTAAAAGGTTTATGGTCAAAAGTTAGATGATGGTCTGCAGGACAGAGCAGGTCAGTGGCCAAAAAATACAGAGGGGATTTAGTTCCATTGTTGCAAACAAAAAAAACACCCCACTATTTTTTTATGGAAACTAGAACTCAATTTAATGGAAACACTCGTAAAATGAAACACATAAAATTTGCATTTAGAAATAATTATTGCAATTTCATTATTTTTTCTAAATTTATTTTTCATGTATTTCTGCTTCAGATTTAGTTTTCTGAATTGCATTGTTGCGAAATGGCATTGTAAAGACAGCATTCTTTTCTTGTGAAAAACAAATTATGATAATAGAATAATAAAAAAATATCTAGAAAATCTGAGAAATAATAAATTGAAAGATAAATCTGGAAAAAATAAATCTAAGAAAACAACAATGTTGTATAAAAAAATGTTTTTGCTCAAAAGGGTGTATAAATTTTTATTTCTTGATGGCATTTCATTTCTAACTTCAATTTACAAACTTTTTTTATATTCCATTTAAAAAACAGTAATTGAACAAAGTTCCTTCCATAGAGACAGAATCTAAATAGGTCAAGAAATCAACAAAGAGCTGTGAGCCGTTTAAAAATCAGACTGAAGAATCTGTTCTTATTTCTCGCCTCTTCAACCTGCAGAGAAGAGCTCTATGGAGGACTGACTCTGCCATATATAAAAAATAAATACAGAAATAAATAAATAACCATACAATTAATTGCCACCAAAAATACAATAAACAAATACATGTAAGTAGAAGTTAAATTATACAGTGAGAGATAAATGTATATAACTATTTTAATTAGCTTCTTTATTTATTTGCCTTTGTAATATTTACCTTATTTATTTTTTTGTCCTTTATAATCTTCAACGTTGTATTTTATTACTTATATTTTTAAGTATTTATTTATGTGCATGTTATAATATTTTTGTCTGTTTTATGCTTCCTTTGTATTTTTTTACCCTAGTTATTTCTTTGCCGCTATTTATTTCTCTCTGCCCTTTTTACATTTCTGTATGCATTTCTGCCTCATTATGCAAATGAGGAGGGGGCGTGTCCTTGAGAGTCAACTTCTGCTCTAGGCTGGTTAGCATTTTACTAATCTACAGGAGGAGAGGAGAGTCTGAAGTTAAGTCTGAAGTCATTAGAACGCGAGTACGGACTCGTGTCCTCGCCAAGTATGTTCTTGAGAAGAACACAGGAAAGTCTGGACTTGGTGAGAACGGGTAACCTGACAACAGCCAGATGCATGTCTCGCTCCGCCTAGCTCC